AGCAGCTGGTCGTGTTGATGAAGCGTCTACGCGCGACAAGATTATGACAAGCAGCAGTTTGTCAGTTGTCCTGCCAACATTTCGTCCACGTTCCTTCATCTTAAGCCCCTCTCCTCTTGAAGCGCCAACGGTCTATATCAAGACCAGGAGAAGGTGCAACAGGAGAGACACCCAACAGACGCTGTTCATAACCAATCTTACAAGAACAGAAGATGGCAGGTAAGGCGAATGTTCTCCTCGTTGGCTCCGGCGGGGTGGGAACCATGGGAGTATACGCCCTTGAATCCGGCGGACAGGCCAGCGTGACGGCCGTGCTGCGATCCAACTATGCTGCTGTTGTGGAAAAGGGATTCAGTTTCGACTCGGTTGATCATGGCAAAGTATCGGGATGGAAGCCCACTGCCAGTAAGTCGCCAACTTGCTCCGTTTCATGGCTTCACTCCAAGTAGAAGTTTGCTCGCGTGGCTCCTTTAACCAGGCTAATGGTCACCCCTTTTGCTTGAGACAGTTGTCAACGCCGTCCCAGCTGTTCAGAATGGCATGCACCCTTTCGATTTCATCGTCGTTACCACGAAGAACATTCCGGACGTACCACCGACCGTTGCGCAGGTCATCGCTCCTGCTGTAACTCCAGGACACACGGTGATCGTTCTCGTCCAGAATGGCCTGAACATTGAGCATCCAGTGCAGCTAGCATATCCCACCAACATTGTTCTCTCGGGGATTTCGCACATTGGCGCAAAGGAGACCACTCATGGCCATATCTGGCAGAACGACCCCGACCGCGTCTTCGTCGGGCCCTTTACGCACCCTACAATTCCTGAAGAAGAGGGTGTGGCGGCGGCCAAGCGTTTCGTCGAGATCTACAACGCGGGCGGGAAAGTGCAGTGCAAGCTAGACGACACGGTGACATGGCGCCGATGGAGGAAGCTGATGTACAACGCTAGCTATAACCCTGTCTGCGCCATCACGCAATTAGACAGCGGCCGCCTCAGGCTGTCCAAGTCCCCCATCGATGGCCTGATAAGACCTCTGATGCACGAGGTCGTGGCAGTGGCCGGCGCACACGGCGTCGAGCTGGACCCCAACCTGATTGAGAGCGTTGTCAACGCCGAGGCCATTGACGACTATTTCGAGCCCAGTATGATGCAGGACGTAGCCAAGGTACGTTCCACGGTCTCATCGACCCGCGTTGATTGGCACCGCTGACCTTTGTTCTCTTGTTCGCCTAACAGGGCAATCTGAGCGAGTATGAAAATATCCTGGGTGAACCGCTTAGGGCCGCGCAGAGCAAGGGGGTCGAGGCTCCCACCTTGAAACTAGTCTATGAACTGATGAAGGCGCTTCAGTGGAGGACCAAGGAGAGAAAGGGCATCATAAAGGATCTGCCACTAAAGAGGCAGATCTAGAAGCGTGGGACGGCTCCGTATAGAACTGCGGTCTTTTGTTTCTGCACGTGAATATGGAGTCTTGTCGTAGTGACCGGCAGTATTAGTAGATAGTCAAGGTAGCAAACAAGTCATCACAGATAGTCAACCCGACTGGCACCCAGCGGGTCTACACCGGAATCAGATATATCGCCCTAGGCAGAACACTGATAGGCACTACATCTCAGAGTATCTGTCAGGAGGTCAGTCAGGCAATATACTCGGTACTCGTTACTCGCAGCAAAAGCGACTGGTCGACTAGTCCTAACAAGGTTAGTATCCCACGCGCTTACCACATGTGAGAGTAAAAAGTGGAGAAACCATTTCCTCTACTAGGCAAGATTCTATCCCCCATCGAGTCATTTCCCCCCCTCCCTTCTCAACACGTCAAGTCGTTATGTATTGGTAGTCTACCTTGGACAGGGTGAATCGCATAGCACATGGGTCTTTGCAATTATCAACGTCCACGGTGTGGCACGCGCAGGTCCAGATACTCGGTCCAACGAGACAGTTTCATTGGGATATCGGGTTCGGCTCGAGTTCAGTTCTTGCTGAGATTCCCGCCAATATTCTCTTCAGTGCTAGGCGCCAGCGATCTAGCATCTCGGCTTTACATGGTGAGTTAGGAGCACGAGGACATGTGTCAAATCGCCGGATATGACTGAATCAAATTTACCACCAGACGTATATGTTCAACTACAGACAGCAAAATACAAGCAAAAGCGCTGCTTCGTCACCACGACAGGCCCCCAGTAACCCTACATCGCCAGTCAGTCCCTAGCGCTGCTTTAATCTCTCTCCCACAACGTCAATCTGTGAAGATGTCCCATCTTACTCTAGCCTGGATTGCGATTGCCGTGATCTCAACTGCCCATCTTCTTCATTGGTTTTGTCACCAAGTCCTTGATCGTTGCAAACGTCCTCCTTTCGTCGCCCTCTTCGAGGTCCTCGACCGAATATATGCGGCGCTCGCTGATGAGATCGACTTGATCACTCTTGAGGTACAATGGGCCACGGAAATAGATCTTGGCGCCAATGTACATGCAGCCGATGACAATGATGGAGACGTACTTGGAGAAGAAATTCTCGGCCGAAGATGGCAGTCCCAGAGGCCACACGGCAAGGTAAAATTCGTTGACGACGAGCAAGAGGCATAGCCCGAGTCCCATGAAGGAGGACCACGGGAAGTACTTGGTGGCCCAGGGGAGATCGGCCTTTGTGTAGCCTTGAGTCTTCCACGCTTTGCGGAAACGAATGTGGTTGGTGAAGAGCATCGACCAGTTGAACAGTGCGCAGAGACCGACAAGATGCGCCAACCACGCATAGACCTCGTAGGAACTCTCGGTAGCGTTGAGGTAGGAGATGCCTCCACCAATAACGAATGTCATGATGATGCTTGGCCACGGGCGTCCCTTGCTGTCTGTTTTCAGGAAGATTTTCGGAGCCATGCCAATTTGTGCCAGTCCGATCGGAGTTCTGGAGCTAGCATACGCCAACGCGTTTCCGCAGGATAGGACGCTGAGCAAGATGATGGCGTTCATGACATGAGCGGCATTAGGAAGACCAGCCCGCAGCATGGCGATGACGAAGGGACTGGCGTTAGTGCCCGGGGCACCAAACAAGTCATGGTCGTGGGGGTCCACGCACAACGTTGTGACGAAGGAACCGCCGATGTAGAACAGCCCGAGTCGGATCCAGATGGTGTTGACCGCTCTGGGGACCGACTTCCTGGGATTCCGAGCTTCTGCGGCTGTCAGGCCAATGAATTCAGTGCCGGCCATGGAGAAAATGCAGTTGTGCAGGCCGTTAAGGAATCCTTTGAATCCGTTGATGAAGGGTGTTTCCCGCCAGTACCGGAAGCCGATGGTGGTATGGTTGGGCGCACCCCCAGCGGTGATCACAATGAACATGATGATGACCACAAAAATCCAGAAGAACTTGATGATGGAAGCGACAAATTCCACCTCGCCAAAGATCTTGACGTGGAATATGTTGACGAAGAGAATAATGGCCAGGAAAATAGTCACCCACACCGAGACATGCAGGGAGTCGGTCCAGTATCGGATCACATTACACGCACCTTGGATCTCAGCCGCCAGCACGAGGGTGGACGACATCCAGTATGCCCAGCCCAGGGCGAAGGCGGGAGCTTTGTCGAGGAATTTTTCTGTCCACCGTGGAAAGGCTGAAGGGATCGGGTAGTTGCAGGCCATCTCCCCGACAGCCTGTGCAACGGCCCAAGAGATGAGTCCGGCCAAGAGGAAGCCCAACACGTTACTCACGGGGCCACCTTTCGCCAGCGTGGCACCCGATCCCAGCCAGAGCCCAAGGCCGATTGAGGAGCCGAGTGAGAAGAAGATGAGATGGCGAGACTGTAAGCTTTTCGCAAGGCCTGGATCTGGGCGAGACAATGGGGTCGTCTCTCCCGCGGCAGGAGTGCTCCCTTCGGTGCTTGAACCATCATTGACGACGGAAACAGCTTCCTTCTTGGTATCCATTGTGAAAAAGAGTAGCAATTTTGGATAGTTTGAATGAGTAATGAAGACAGAGCTTGGGAGGTTGAGAGGTTGAGAGGCCTGATGGAAGACTCACAGCCCGTTGGGAGCCTTTCACGTTTCCCAGAGGGGATCGCAGCCGTTTATAGACCGCACCCCGACATATACACATGTGCAAGTTCCTCGGTTCTTATCAAGAGGCTTTGATTCCCCTGCCTCGAATCTGATGGACCTTCTGAGCTTCTCCCTTCCAGACACAGGGTAGAGTTCTTGTCCTGTTAGTTGAGCCGTCTATCAAGTCTCGGCCATGCTCTATCAGTGCGTGAATTGGATATGCGGCATCAATATCATAGAGGCGACCGGTTGGGACGTTACACCCAAGGAGACAAGGATAGAGAAGTCTTGACCAGGCCGTATTCACCATGGTTGGATATCGGGAAAGCACGATAAGTGCAGCGAAAAACGAGCCTACGGAAGATAGCAAAGAGCGGAAAGACCCACCCTGAGGCCACGAGATACTCTGTACCTACATACAACTCGGCCCCGCGCCGGTGGATACGCCAAGCTTTGCCAAGATCCGCTCCAGGTTGATAAAGGGCTTCGGCCGTTGAGGCTTGGCCCTTTTCAATATCATTGCTATCACCGATATATCTCTACCAGTACAGAAAGAAGTCCGAAGAATATGCTCAGAGATACACACAGCCACGTCTCAAGGTCTCTCTGGCCCGAAGCAGCCAGCTTGCCCAGGAGTTCAATATCTGTTATGAACCTTGATTCGGACCAGCAGAATATCGATGTTGTTAAAAGGTTGCGGCTCTCGGCCCCGACTTATCTCCCAGGCCGACAGCACTCCTCTCGGACACAGAGAATGAGCAAGGTGAGGTTGCTATGGGGCGCGTATACGCGTGGGCGACGCATCACAGCCCCTTATATCTCATGGAGAGCTTGCTTCTTGTCTATGACAGTAAGGTCTTCCCGGTGAGTTCGAACCGGCGAGAAGGCACAATTTCCCTACAGAGCAAACATGGGATCAATCAGCGATACCCCAGTGAAAACCCTTCACCCACTTGACCCCATCATGGCGGAAGAGATTACAGAAACCGCACAGCTCATCAGATCCAAGTATGCCGAGGGTGCGGTTCATTTCAAAGCCATCTCGCTCTTGAATCCCATCAAGAAGACACTGCTACCCTACCTGGCCGCTGAGCGGGCTGGTAAGACCAAACTTCCCGAGATCCCGCGAAGGACTCAAGTTGTTTGGTTCCTCAGGGGCAGTTATGACTTCTTCAGCGCTGTGGTCAATCTGAAGACCAAAGAAGTCGAGCAACTGAAGCAATTGGACAAAAATGGTTATCCCGGCGGAGATGTGGACGAGACTCGAGAGATGCGGCTGACGGTTCCCGAGCATCCCGAGGTCAAAAAGGCGATAGCGAAGCTCGAGCTTCCCGAAGGTACAGAAGTTGTGTGCAACACTTGGTCGTACGGCCGGGAAGACGAGATACAACACGAGCGTAGGGTTCAGGTAGGGCATCTCCTGCGCGTCGGAAAGCCCACCACTAATGACAATATACAGTGCTACATGTTCTGCAAAGACCCTAAACGCGCCACGAACGCATCTAATCATTATGACTTTCCTCTCCCGATTGCCCCGGTTTTTGAGAACAAGTCCAAGAAGCTGGTGGAAATCATCTACCTACCGACCGGAGCAGATGCGAAGGCTAACACGAACCCCAAGTTCGTCCCTCACAAGGCACAAGAATTTCATCACAGCCTGAGAGAAAAGCCGGCAAGGACGGACCTGAAACCGCTCATCGTGACCCAACCAGAAGGGACATCCTTCACCGTCGACGGATATCTCATAAAATGGCAGAAGTGGCGCTTCCGGCTGTCTTTCAATTTCCGAGAGGGCATGGTGATCAACGACGTGACCTACGATGGGAGGGAGTTGTTCTACCGAGTCTCACTGAGTGAAATGGTCGTCCCCTACGCTGATCCTCGTAGCCCTTACAATCGAAAGTCCGTCTTCGACCTGGGTGATGTCGGTGCCGGCAATTCGGCCAACAACCTACAGCTTGGGTGTGACTGTCTGGGAGTTATCAAATACTTTTCCTTTGTGGTGACCAATAGCAAAGGCGAGGCGGTGCCGAAACCGAACGCCGTGTGCATGCATGAGATCGACAATGGCATCGGCTACAAGCACACCAACAACAGAAGCGGCTTGGTTTCAATCACCCGCGCTCGGGTTCTGGTCCTGCAATCGATCCTGACGGTTGGCAACTACGACTACATTTTCGCCTTCCATTTTGACCAAGCAGCTGGTCTGCATTATGAGATCAAGGCGACGGGTATCGTGGCCACACAACCCATCGACCATGGCGTTACCGTGCCCTGGGGCACTGTCGTGAACCAGGGCGTCCTCGCTCCCCATCACCAGCATGGTATGGATTCCCGCCCCCTCTCTCCTCCCCGCTCATCTAACCTATGAAACAGTGTTTATTCTTCGAATTGATCCCAACCTCGACGGGTCAGCCAACACCGTGGTGATGGAAGACTCAGAAGCGATGGCGCCGGATGACGAGTTGAATCCCTACGGTGTCGGCTACGTGGTGAAGAAGACCAAGATCACCGAAGCTGGCTCTGCCGATTTCGCGCCGAACCGCGTGTACAAGATCATTAACCCAAACTCGATCAACCCTGTATCCGGCCAGCCTGTGGCCTACGCCATCGCAAGCCCCATGAAGCAGATGCTGCTCGCACAACCAGATTCGCAGCATGGCAAGCGAGCAAGGTTTGCCACCCACCCGTACTGGGTCACCCGGTATCGGGATGGCGAGCTTTTTGCTGGTGGCAACTATACGTACCAGAGCATCGCGCTCCCCGTGGACAAGGCCACCGAGGACGGCAGTGGCGACGTGGCTGCCTGGGCAAACAGGAAGGACAACGTGGACAATGAAGACATTGTGTTGTGGCACTGCATCTCGCTGACGCACAATGTCCGCGTCGAGGATTACCCCATCATGCCCTGCGAGACGATCCAGGTCTCTCTCAAGCCCTCTGGCTTCTTCCAAGAGAACCCGCTCATGGACGTGCCACAAAGCAGTCAGCTCTTCAGCAAAAGCGTCCTCTACGAAGACCAGCTAAAAAGGCAGACCAGTGGTGAATCTACAACTAATGGACAAGGGTCTTGTTGTTCCAATGGCCATTAGGGGGAACATGCGACTTAAATTGAGACTACTAGAACTGAGCATACATCAGGAGTTAGATACAAACATTGTCATCATTTGTAACGTCTTTGCAGTGGTCCTTCTTAGTTTCTGTCTTTCCTTCCCTTCCCCTGGTAGGGATCTCGCCAGCACGTTGACTTACGGTAGATCAGCCACGTTCCGACCACAGCCGTTGAAGAATGTCGCGGCGGCAGTGGTAGGCCTTTGTCTCGACTGATCAAAAATGTGGACCACAGGCCGATACTAAACGCACATGTGTGCACAGAATGCCACGTGTACCTTTGCTCTCTTGCAGTATTGCCAGGACTCAATATCTTGACTCGGTTATGCAGTCAGCAATCGAATCCCAACTCCGACACGACAAGGACTCGGACAATGAGTCGAAGGTATTGAGTCCTGGAAACGGCTGGTATCTCGGCAACATGCTTTGCAATCTTTGTTGAAAACAGACGAGAACCTCGGATCCGTCTGATAGACGCGAGACATTTCATATCAGCGCCGAGAACCTCTCTATAGACTCTATCGTGGTTTAGTGGGCCTCGCGCCAACGGATCTCGGGGCCGAAGAACCACCCCTGCGATACTGTACTGGGGGCCGAGTACTCAGGTCTAAATAAGGCGTGATACGGTCCCGGTCATTGACTATCGCCAGGTCTGCGTAAATTGTCTCGAGAGGATCCTATTCAAGCCCGAACGGTGTCTATCCGACCTCCGGGTCGGCGTGTGGAGGTGCTTTCGGGCCGCCCTTTTGTTGGAGAATTCGTCTGTGTATTCCCGAGACCATCCATTGGCCTTTGGATATGCTCTGGAATTCCTTCTTTCTGTCTTTTTCGTAAGGCGTTGTCCGATCGCGTCGAGCTTGAGCGAAGCGGCGTCCTTCGTGGAGTGAAGCTGAATAGTATTTCATTCTTTCTTGTTGCATCTCTGAGCTACGCTCACTTTCATACTGGTGTGACTCGACCAGCAGCAACAATGGCATTCAGCACAACAAGTACTCTGGTCCGACCCCCAACAGACGTGCCAGATATGGCATCAGCTGCCAAAATCTCCACGGCAGATCATCCTGTGGAGGGATATCTGGACAGCATAGTCATCGAGCCCCGACGACCAGACGACCTCGGAACGGTCTTGACCATCAACGACCTTAGGGAACTTGCACAGAAGAAGGTGCCGAAGATGTATAGAGGTGAGGCCCCCAATATACTCCTGTGTAACGTCAGGCGGGTTGGGATTGAAGCATCCATCTCATCGGTTCTCTTCCCTGAGGGACGTGGCCGAGATATTTGATTCGTGCTGACTCGATTTCCTTAATGGCCAGACTATTTCAATGACGGAGCGGACGATATGATAACGTACGTACGCATCTGTGCCCCGAAGCAAATATACTTCTATACAGGCTTCCAGCCTAGACTGGATTACGCCAGTGGCGGACAGCATTTGCAAACACCAAATCTGAGACTTGCGGGACAGTTTTCTTGACTACCTCTACCGCCGATCTCGCTTCATGCGTAAGAACGGCGTGTGCTGACGATATGTGTGACTGTCGGACATAGTCTTCGTGATAATGAAGCGGCATACAACCGCTACAAGATTCGACCACGAGTCTTGGTCGATGTGTCGGAACTGGATTCCAGCATTGAAATGTTTGGGAAGAAGGTAGACAACAACATCGCATGGTGGTCACCATGAGCAGGATCGCTGACAAAAGGCTCTCGATGTAGCTGCCAATACCCCTCGGTTTTGCTCCTGCTGCCGCACACAAGCTCGCACACCCCGACGGTGAACTCGCAACGTCACGAGCGGCAGCCAAGGCCGGAATCCCTATGGGTCTATCATCTTACTCGACAACTTCGATTGAGGATGTCGCGCGCGAAGGGGGTGGGAATCCCTATCTCATGCATCTCACCATCATGAAAGATCGGAGTCGGACAGTGCAAACGCTCCGCAGGATTGAAAGTGAGTCTCCATTCTGTCCCCCATTCATGTGTAGTGGAACGGTTCCACTAGTCTTCCCTCTCCTCGCCGCCGTGCAGCGATAAAAACATTAGCTGACTGAGTGGACTGTGCTTCCTCCTGATCAGAGGCTGGCTTTAGGGGCATCTTTCTCACCGTCGACACGGCCGTCCTGGGGCGACGTTTGAACGAATACCGCAACAACTTCCAGATGCCGCCTGGTGTGAGCTTCCCAAATATGAAATTTGAAGCAAGCGACGCGGAAAAAGAAGGAACCGTGAACAAGGGTGCCAGAGGATTCAAGTCGGTTGTGAAGACGGAGAAAGATACCAAACAGGACTGGGAAACGGTCATTCCATGGTTGAAATCACAGACCAAACTTCAGATCTGGGCCAAGGGCATCTACACCCCAGAAGATGTCCGGATGGCCATCAAGTACGGCCTGGACGGAGTGGTCATCTCCAACCATGGCGGCCGTCAGCTAGATGGGGTCCCCGCCAGTCTGGATGCGTTAAGAGATTGCGCGCCCGCAGCCCTTGACCCTAACGGTAAGAGATTGATCCAGATCGCTCTCGATGGGGGTATCAGGAAAGGCACCGATATCTTCAAGGCTATCGCGCTGGGTGCTCAAATGGTCTTCATTGGCCGGATTCCAATCTGGGGTCTCTCGGTGAGTTTGTGCTCTTTTTCGACTTTTCCTTTGTGACATTACCCTACGCCTCCGCCATGTTTGCTCGCCTCAATGCTGGACTCTGCTTTCATCGTCTTCGACCGATTTCTGACGGGCGTGCGTTCTTCTAGGTTGGCGGCGAAGAAGGCGTCACAAAAGCTGTGGAAATTCTCGCACAAGAATTCCGCCAGACCATGGCACTAGCTGGGTACGTTTTCTCCCCTCGAAACTTATCACCATGCAAGTGGTCCTCTGACAGGCGGATATAGATGCCGCACGGTTGCGGATATAACGCCGAATCGACTGGCTATTCTGAGTAAAGGACGCCTTCTCAAGCTGTGAGGTTCTGTCTGGATGGTCAATTCCTGTAGCTCCGCTTCAAGGTGTCTGGGTTAATAGAGGAAAGCATCAGCATCAGCGATCAGGGGACCATGTGTTGGGTTCAGAGCATACATTTCGTGATCATGAATCTGCCGATACTTGTTAGCCCTCGCTGTTATCAAGTATCCCATGCTGTGGCTTCACCAGTGCACGAATCAAGCGGTTCTATTAGGTCGTTATCAGCGCCAGCGCCGTTGCCATTCATTCTTCTCTTCATGTCACTGGCCTAATCATTCTTGACTTTCGGGATGTGGATCAGCAACAAATGGAGAGGATCAATAACAGCGCATACCCTTGCCAAGATATGCCAAGCTTAAGCCACCTTCGCCGCAATCTTCCTGGTCAATATCAAATCTCAATCAACCCGGGCCCACTTAGGCCTGCGATCAGGACCCAACCGAACATGTTCCTCCGCTCGACCCTCCCGATCTATATCTGCCCTTATCTGAGGCCATTGCAGTTCTAGCGCTTCGCCTCGGCTGCTTATTTTCTGTTGTTGAGACGCCAACATGGTTCTCTTTGTCGTACCCCGGATGTCTCCCCCGACTTATGTACCTGCAGGGATGAGAGATGGGGGATGAACAGGCTATCCTACTAAGAAGGCTGGACAACAACGGACATGATGTATCAGCAGACAGTAAGGTAGTCACGTCTGTCAACTGATCGTGGCAGAAATAACATCAGCCGATCCGATGGCCTGCGATACCTGCCACCGCCGCAAGGTCCGATGCAATTACAAGGAACAAGTGCCCTGTGCTCCGTGCGAGAAGGCCGGTATTTCTTGCAGGTAAGCACACATGGTGAGAACGATTATTATCCGTCAAGATGATAGCTTACTTGATGCCTGCGTGAAACAGCTTTCATTTGAGCGAGAATTTCAGAAGAGTACGGCGTCATCCTCGTTCCCGACCTCCCTCCCACGGCCAGGCCTCCGCATCAGGCCACAACTCGACTGGAAGGGAGCATGAGCAGGGCTTTCCGCCAACACGTCATGGTCGGTCAGAAGAACACGGGGAGTCCGAGCTGGTTAGCCAGGCGGGGTCAATGACCTCGCCGTCGACCAGCGACATCATACGCTCCGTGGAAGACGGCCATCTCTCACGCTCAGCCTTACCCACCTTTTATCGCACCGAAATTAATAATACCCTTCCCGCTACTCCGCAAAGCCGTTGGGCATATGTCGGTACAACGGTCTCAAATCTGGCTCACTTGGTCAACGCCCGAACAACGCGCCCGGACTGCCTCCATTACCCCTTTCCGCACTATCGATCGACACTTCCGTGGAAGCCCTCCGCTTCGTCCTCTACCACACGTGCTATACCAGTGATTCAACCACAGGAAAGCTCCAGCGCACATGAACCACCACACTGGACATTCACGACTCTGCCAGACCCAGACCTTGGCATATTACCTGTCAGCGAGATTCGAGTCGAGCTGATAGACGCATATTTCAAATATATTCACCCAGGATATCCTGTGGTTCAGGAAGCAGATTTTCGCCGGCGTCTGAAAGCCAGCACGGGCAAAGGGGGTGACACCGACGGCGGCACAGCTCTTACTCAAGAGCCCCCGGCTCTGTTGTTGATACAATGTGTCCTGCTTGCAGGTGCGCATGTCTCCACTCATCCGACCGTCCAAAACGCTCGGTCGTCCATCAAAGAAGCTCTGTATCGCCGTGTGCGCACATTGTTCGACATGCGTTACGAGAATGACCGCTTGCTTCTGCTCCAGGCTGCGTTGATCTTGACGTGGCATGTCGACTCGGGGGACGACGTCTCGGCCAACGCGTGGTATTGGTCAGGAATTGCGAGCCGCATCGCGCTCGGCTTGGGCTTGCACCGCCGCTTTGCATCGATGACCATGCGTCGTCGCGGCCAGAGACGTATGCGGACGATGTGGTGGATGGTGGTGCAGACCGAGATTTTGTGTGCCCTGAACCATGGCCGGCCGGTGAGCTTCGACTTGGACGACTGTGATCAAACTCTGCTCACAGAAGACGATCTACACGAGGAAGAAGTCGACCCCGATACGGGTGCTTTAAGAGCCGTCTGCACCGCAAACGTTGACTTTTGCCTGGCTAACACCTCGTTGTGCGTCCTAATCTGGGAAATGTTGAAGCTCCACTCCCCTGGAGTGAAGAGAAGGCTCGGTGGGGAGGGTTCAATGGGCATGAGAGCAGCGAAGATGGACCTGAACGCTCGATTGGCCGCTTGGTGCATGCAGTTGCCACCGAGCATGGGTCAGCCGGGAATGCCAGCTCAGGACACTTTTGCTGCTCAACTGCATCTTCACTACTACATGGCGATCATTGCATTGAATCGAAGGACCAAGACTGAGCCAATGGGACTGGATCCAGGTTATGGCCTCACCTCGGACTCTCCCGGCGTTGCCTGGGCTCAACAAGCCTCCGTCCCAGGTGAAGGTGCTGCTCAGGCGAGCACGCAGATGCCCAGAGACGATATCGAGTCACAGCAATGCTCTTCTCTCTGCCACACCTCTGCAGTTAGCATCGTCTCTATTTTGACCCACATGACCGATATGGGATGGATCAAGAGCTGTTGGCTTAGTACCATGACATCGATCCTAGCCGCGGCGGTCCATTTCAGCTACGAAATTCGGTCGGCGACTCTAGGGGAACGAAACGCCAACGGAGAAACGAACACGGATCCCCCTTTGAGTGTGACACGCCAAAGCCTGTCTCCGTTTCCATCAACGCAGGGGTCGCCTTTTAGTCTGTTGGTCGCCCTAGGGTCTCTCGATAGGCTGCAAATGCTGGTTACTATCTCGACCACGCTCATCCCCTACTGGTCATCTGCCGAAGGGCTGAGCCAGCTGCTCGAAACGATCTCGGCGGAATTAAAAGGGATGATCACGTTTGTAACCGGTCGCAAGGACAGGAAAGACACCAACGCAGCCGATCGAAACACAGCAAAGAGAACCAGTGACGCTGTGGTCGAACAAACCAGCAACCCTTCCTTCACAGTATCTGCCGGCACCTATCAAACATCAGATCCCAAAGGTCAGGTGCACCACAGGCAATCGACTGCTCCACTCAGTCAACAAGCAGATGTCCCAGAACAGTCACGCAAATCACAGCGAACATCCTACATGTCCACTCCTGGGACCGCGACAAGAAAAGAAGAGAGTCTTGATTCTGACGCACTTAGACGCCACTCCACATATGCTACCGCTCGACAAGGCGATTCAGATTACGCTGACTCAAGTGTGTATACTCACATCAGTCGCAAAAACACTGCCGGCACGAGAGAGACAGCCTCATCTGATCAGGCACCCGATATCTGGGAGCCACTTCCTGGAAACAGGACAACTCAACCGCAGGCTTCCAATCCCGGGGCGGCTCTGACTTTTGACGACGACGCCCGCGACCCGCCATATTCTACGTCGGATACCCTACACGGAGACAGCGGCCGTGGAGCCAACAATGTCGGCTCAAGAAACACGATTCCATTTCCCCCTCGTTCAGCACAGTCTTCTGCTTTTTCCTCCGCACCCGTGGGCGCCGAAACTCGCGGCCGATCGGTTGACTTTTCCTCCGGACACGCGGCTCAGAGCTTTCCCACGTCGGGATATTCTGGGTATAACGTCGCTCAGGCGATGCAGCCGCCGTCACGAAAGGTAGATACCGTGGCAGCGAGCGCCGCGGGAGGGAATTGGGAGCTTCAAATTGACGATCTGCTGAGATACATGACCGACCCGGGCGCCATGACTGACGCTGCGTCTGCCCATGCCTACAACGCAGCCAACATGCGGGAAAGGCATGGAGACGCGAACATGGGCGAATACATGGGTCCTTATCAATGAAATTGGTCTGTAGGGTATCTGGTGTTTGGAGGTGAAGGAGGTCCGCGCGGTTCAGCACGGTGACAGCAGCCATGTCCCTTATAGACCACCCATTGTAGTATAGTCAATCCATCTATCCTCGAGCAGAGGCTACCTACGACTTATCGCCATGTTACGCTTGCTCAAAAGCGGCAGATCTACCAGAGGTCGAGGTCGGACTCGGGGTAGACAATAGCCGAAGCGGGAAGGGAAGTAGGAATCAGACCTGGAGCAGGGATTTCGTTGGTGACACCGCTGCATAAGCCTTCATTCTGGGGTGGGCGGGAATATGGTTCATCGATGAAAGACTCGCCCGGTTCGGGGGAGCTGTCGCTCTCTTGTGTAGCGTCACGATATACACCGTAGTCAACGAGCTGATTTCCGATGGCGGCGTTCTCGCGCCTCACTTTCTTCAGACTCTCATTGCGCTTGGTAAGATGTTGCTCCTTGTAGTCGATCATGCGCGAGTGGTTTTGGCTCATCGAGCTTCATCTAAAACCGGATTGTGGTCGAATGCTCTGGAAGGCATTAGCCTGCTTCTTTAGTCCAGCGTCGTGATCTTTGCGAAGACGGTCGAGCTGCTTGTTAGGTTGCAATTCGAGGTCGTGGTCGGCCGTGCGCTGTTATTTGAACTTCGTCTCGAATGCCTGACGAAGATTCCTGAGGTCCTGCTCCTGCTGCTTACTCGGTGCTGGAATTTCAGATTGAGATTCCACACGTTTAGTATTCCTAAAGGCGCCGATCGAGCTGCTGCTTGTGTTCTTCCTCCACTTTTCCATGTAGCTCGGGGCTCTGGTAGACCTCACTGTGCGTCCGAAGCTCCAAATCGTGTTCCTGTTCAAATCTGCAATCTCCCTTGGCTCTCGGTCAAGTGAGTCGCTTGATCGTGGATGTGGTGCCGTAACGCTTGGTTGCCCGACTGTGTATGCTTCAACATTCAAGGCCTTGCTGCACGCTGGCGCTCACGATCCTGACATTATCTTCGAGAAGTTTGTCCTTCTTTTTGATCCCCTCTAGCTCGAGTCTCGTCGGGTCGAGTTCGATTTTGGTGTCTCAACTGGCGCTGTATGTGATTGAGCAGGTTCCAGGACGGAGGGGTGAGAGCGAAGTGAGGGAGGTGAGTGCGAAGGTGAGAGGGAGGGTGGGATGATAGAAAAGCGGCGCGCTCGGCGCGAGTTGCACAGTCGCACTTTAGCCATCAGCTCAACCATTGGAGTTGAAGACTTCACCGAGAGCCACGACAGGTGCCGCCGCTCTGTCTCCAAGCCTCTGCCCGATTGCTGTCTGAGATCGCACGAGAACCCCCATTGCCACGGGTGAAAGTCAACATCTGCGCTTGCTCAGTAAGACCTCCTTTTCTCCCACGAGAACAACGCTCATTACCTTTCTTCAACTGGGAAAAGACCTGCAAATGTCATGTGAAGTTGGATCTGAAACGAGGACACTTTCGACGCACTATCGGTATGCGTCTCGGCCTATTCGTCACAGAAGATGAGTTCAAGGACGGAAAAGTGGAAGATATCACAAGCTGGAAAATTCCCAATACATTTCTGATATGGAGCCAATACTTCTGGCTGTCGAACTGGCCTGGGTCCCTCGAGCCTATTGACATTCACATATCCCAGCGGCTGACAACCAGTCCGGGGCATCTTGACGGAATCCATGGTTGCTGCTCCTTGGGTCGCGCGATGTTCACCTACCAGAGTCTGCACTTGAGTCTCAATATCCCAACTCCGAGAGCAGGTCAAGTTCAAATACGGCGACAACCATCTGTACACAAAGGGTGATGAATCGGCGATTTTGACTGCGTTAGTTGTCAATGTGCAGACAACCTGGAAAACCTGCCCCCCATTTCATGAGATCAGCTCAGACCGTGCTAGCAACTTTCGCGCCTTGGGCGTAAGAGACCAGAGAAGATCTCACGCCATGTCGAGAGATCTATGGACTGTCCAAGATCATGTGGCACCCGGAACGCAGTGTCGAGGCAGACCACATTTGATGAGAACCCTTGATCAAGACCCAATGTAAGCCACTTGCAGGGACGTGTCCAGCGTCTCCGCCACCTGCTGACAGTTGCTGCGCACAGGGACACCCCCTTCACGCACACTACGTGTTTCCGAAGTTGAGCACCGACTTTGCGACTGAGGGAGTCTTCAGGGATAACAGGGGATCTCGGACTCGGAGCCTATCTGAGTAGTGAGTCATTGATGATTGGTGGTATGCATTCGGGCTTTATCACACTGGCAAAGTGTCTGTGGAAAGCATGATAATGAAGAGAGACTCCTCTCTGTTCACCCGCACCCCCATGAGCGAGTTAAGGGCGCTCGATCTATAATGGGAGTTCAGGAGACAACCTTCGACATCACCGCCATGGTGTCTCCTCGTGGCCGCGCGCAGGTGAAACTGTGATCAGCAGGAGAGGGACTTGGTATTCGGGACAACAATCCGACCATGGGGGAATCGATGTTTCAGGCAGGACACCTTTGCGCCAGAAACCAAAAAAGACATACTTCGTACACCTTGTTTGTGCTTGAGCTTCGCCTACATAAGGTATTGGTTACTGTGCACAGCTCAGGAGTTGGCCAGCAACACGACTTGACGACACCCATCCACGCAATCATGAGGAATTTTTGGCGCAGATGTTGTCATCACCCTGGCATGGCAAGTCTGGAGATCTGAACGCAGAGCCTAGACCTGTCCAGGTCAAGCCACGGGCAAAATCTGGATACCCATTGGGGGTGTGAAGCTTCTGGTGGATCGCGCCCTGCCCAGCTGCGCCCCCAAGAGACCCTCAAGCGCCCCGATTACCCACATATGTGCCAAAAACAGTGTCAACGTCACGCAAGCGACCCTCAGCATCCCCCAGCCAGCATCCGAAATGGACAACAACTACTTTCTTACCAGGCAAGGGAGAAAACGTTCAGCGGACTCAGCAGGCTGGCTGGAGGGATCCAACAATCACGAGAGAAACTTCCCACAACAAGGGGTTGGATTGCGGAGCTCTGAATGCCTGGAACAATGCACCTTGGGCGTCGAGGAACGGAGTAGCTAACTGCTATTGTCGACCCATGTGCATTGTTCCAGGCGCTCAGCCTCTGGTCTGGATGAACTCAATGGGCAATGGGAGACTCACCGCCCTCCGCGGTCACCGAATCGGCCTGTGGCCTCGGATAGGGGAGAATAGGGACAGCTAGCGACCCGCCGAAAGCCTCCTCCTGGCCATGTGAAGGAACAATAACCCAAAAGCGCTTTGAGGCTTTCGTGGACCACCGTCAGCCAGAATCCTAGACTCGAGGGAGCGGGCCATCAGCCTCAGATCACGAAATCCCCTTCCAAGACAACGCCATACCTCCTCCTGTGTACTACACACTTGATGGCCAAAACAAACATATAATAGACACGTGGACCACCTCTCTCTCTCTCTGGGCATCGATATCTCTGTTACTTGGCTCGATCATCATTACATCAACGAATCCCAGCCACCAGCATTCTCTGGCCCCAACACCCACTCAACTGACCCCCCCCCCCCCTTGGCGAAGCTCGAAGCCGCGTATCCCTCGGAAAACAGGCCCATCATCCGATCCCGCAGGTCATTCCACTGGTGACTGGATCTCTTGGTTCTTGGGAACCACCCCCCGCATCGCTACCCAGTTTTTGGTCACAGCTGATGCAAGCAACGACGTCGACATCTCTCACCCCACTTGTTCAAACCACCCCCCAACCTCAAGGGCTGGCCATGTCAATGGCGGCATATCTGCTTGGCTTTGTCTTGTATGTATTTCTCTCTCTCTCTTGTCTGTTTATTTTCTCTTTGAATCAATATCCTTTGTAAAACTACTCGTCGGCGACCATGATCAAGAATTTAATGCGATTGCTCTTCAGCACTGGATTCTCGTTTGAGAATCACCGAGATGACGATTTTTTCAACGAACCCTCGACTATGCGGCCTCGATTGACTGCTGCAGCCGCCAAAGAGGATGGTTCCACAGAGCTACTTACGCCGCTGTCCTCATCCTCGACATACCAGGTGGTGGCCAAAGGACTTCCTGGCGCGACAATCCATTATGCAGCACCAAGTGCTTGAAGATGCCGGGGCTTGATTCATTCTCCTTCACAGCATCATTACGACATCCTTATGAACATGAGCAAGCGTCATATTCATCCCTTTGTGCTTGAGCATGCAATGCGATACTATGTACAGCCGAGGCAATCACAGACTGGACCCTTTGGGGGGTCCATGCTTTGCGCCTGTGCGACAGTGGCGAAAAGCTTCCGCCGAGCATGACCACCACAACATTGTTGGAGTTTTGAATGCAGCCTGTGGACCTGCATTACGCTACGTGCATACGGACGACCAAGTATTATGAGCATTCACTTTTCGCAACCTCCCAACCCCGCCTTTTACAGCGCTACGACGGCAACACAAGGTCATGCGTATCCTATCTTTTTTGGTCTTTTGCGAGGGCGTGCATGAATGGCGCCACGCCGAACGCCACTTGTCTCACTTGGAGAGTTGGTATTTGCGCACATTTCCGCCAGAACCACCAAAGAATATCTCTAGATCAGATACCTAGCGGAAGAGAGTTTTCCACACTCTACTTACGACACGGGCCTTTTTTTTCTCGAGCACACACGCATATCCACGCAAACCCACGAATTTCCTTTTTCCCCCCTCCCCCTCTTGCGCAACTGCGACGCAAAAATGTCAAGAAAGCTTGCTGGCTTGACAAAGGGAGCAACGACCACTTTATGATTTACATATAACTGTTATCCACGACGATATGATACCACACACGATACGAGGCTGGCATGGAGATGGGAATGGAGGTGGAGATGGAGATAGGCGGATGGCTTTTTTGTTTTGGCTGCGATTTGTTACCGTCTAAAATTGCCGGATCGATCACTCAGCTGTGTTTTACAGATGGTCTTTAAGAGAAAGAGCGAGGGCAGCGTTGGCCAACCAGGCAGTTTCTGCGGCTCCGTTCAATCTACTACTCCTAGAGGAAAGGAAATAACATGAATACCTACCTACCTAGTCGATAGTCTATAGTCCATGATGCCAATAGCATTGATGTCGATTTTAGTCCCCTTTTTTCCCTTTTCGTTTTGTTTTGTTGTTCCCATTTACATACCATAGATATTATAGCATCAAACTGCCAACAGGCTGGTCCATGTGTGGTATGTCCGACTGATAGCATGGTTACTTTTTCGCTAATGGCGTGAGTGCTTCTGCTGCTGCTCCTGCTGCTGTTGCTACTGAGACCATTGATAGTCATGAATATGGTAGACTCTCTTCCTCCTACTTGGTCATCCTTGGTGTTTGTCCCACTCCTGTCCGCATCTCATGCGACTCGTACGACTTCTGTAGCTTTCCCTCATATTTCCCCCAGTAGTCAGTGAGCCTTGCCCTTACCCTTGTCCTTATCCTTGCACATTTCTGTCCCAATGCCCAATGCCGTCCTCATGTCTTAAGACTCGGTCTCGACTCGACGCCCCATCTTGATCATCCACATCACGTCGAATCCTGCCGGTGGGTGGGTCTATATACTATATTATCGTCACGTTTTATGTTATGTACAGTAGCGGCTGTACAGGGGCACAAGTGGCACGTGCACGAGAGAGGCCGAGCCCGAGCAGGAGCATATGATTCCCTCGGAGGAAACCCCCGATTGAGATCATCTTTCCCCCTTCCTTGCCCATGGGATGCTTGGAGTACCGTATCAGCGCAGCAGCGGTGATCTTTTCTTTTCTTTTCGTTTTCTTAATTTGACAACTCTTGGTCCCTACCTCGTGGGAAAATCACAAAATTGGCCCAGTGTGGCTGGCTGGAATTCAACACGCTTTTTCGTCGTTTCGTCTCGATTCTTTGTGGTCAAAGGATAGGGGAGCTCGAGCTCGAGCTCGCTCGGCGTGTAGCAGTCGACCATTGTCACCAAAGCACGAGATGCAAAAGGTCGGAAGAAAAAAAAGGTACGGACTGACTGACCGCATCGAGAGAGCGGCTTTCACAGCTCCATATATTCATAGGGATTTGACTTCTTGTCAAACTCGAGGCGGAGATACCCCAAGAGGCGTTTGCCGAGTGAGTGCAGTGGGCAGTGGCCGAGCATCCTGCGAATCGTCTGTGACTTGTCTCGCGCCTCGGCCTGTGGGTGTTCCTTTGATCAAGTTTCGATTTTTAGACGGCTGCATCCATAGCACCGCACGTCTGTTCAACTCATCTCCGCCTAGCACTGACACGGACAGGTCGATCCCACTGACCATTCTGAGCAGAGGAGTGACACGAATGTCCAAATCTCCTAAGAGTTGATATTACACGCAAGATGCGGCGCCAAAATCAGGCACTGGACTTCCACATGGCGGCCAGGAAGAACCCAGTCCTCATCCATTTCCAAACGATGATGGTGATATCGCCCCGTGCAAAACCAGAGTCCCACACTTCAAAAACTATCGAGGGAGCACGACTCGGGAATTTCATCGCACAGGCTCCCCCGTAACAAGGAGTATCTTCCCGGACATGCAGCTTACCATCGACAAAGTCAGGAGCCTTTGTATGTTGAAGAGGTCACACGTGCCCTGAAGTACGCATGGCATGAGATAGTCAGAAAGAAGTCCGATGGCCAGATCTGCACAAGCTTGCCGTTTGAGCGCGCCACCTTGCCCACTGTTGCGTGGTCAACGAAGCCATAAAGTGGTATGGGGGACGAAAACATTGAAGGGATGCCGATCCCCCAGAAGGAACGGGCGGTTTCAAATGTAAGCGTTCGATATCGAGATCATTTAAGTAGGGCGAAAGGTGACTCTATTTGCTGTGATTGTCCCGGCACTGATGTCGGTAGACATATCCGGGTCTCCCAGGACCACGTCTAGAAGGATAACGTTGCGGATAGGACTGCGACTTGGGCGATACACACAACCTCCCAGTAGTGATGCTGTAGTTCCTCTCACTCATACGTCGCACATCAAGTGGCCAAAACGACACTGGTCGGCTTGCAAAGCTCCATCGGGAAATAGCAGAATGGCCCAACTGGTCCGTTCTCCTCATGGTCGCATTGTGTCCACAACCCAAAAACACCTCCAGATCTCACACCTCCTGGCTGGACGCCTTCCAACTGCCACTGGTCTTGGCCGCCATAATTTATGATGTATCTCCATCTTACCTCTCGTCCGCCTGGGACAAGGCTTGCGCAACCTCTTACCCCAATGACCGGCCGGTGCATGCCAGCATGGCCACGTGAAAGGCCAGAAAAGTATAACACGGGTAGGTCAGTACACACGGGAAGGGACGTCATCAGACGCGAATCAGAGGCAACTGTATCATCGAGCTTGAGTTCGAGCTTCATCAGATCGCCACAGTCTTCGGGCTCGTCGTCCAGGGTTGGTCGACCGGGATGATCACTAGTCCAGGCGTTGAACGTGACAAGATCAGAGTAGTCGAGCCAAGAGTACGTCCCTAACCATGCCCCAGTGACGCGCGCCCAGTCATTGGGGCTCGTGGGATCGGGCAGTGTGCGGTGAGGGAGAGAAAAGCAGAAACCTTGGGGCATCGCGATGCGGCCTTCGACGCACATGGAAAAATTGCGGCTGATGACGCTGAAGACAGCCTCGAGCAAAGCCCAGTCGACCTTCCCACTGCCATCCCTGTGGAAGGGACCGTAATCATTGTCCGGCCCACTCAAGCTCCAATTGTACACTTTCCGCCTCGCTGCACCTCTAGCCCTGTGCTCGATGCGCTCGCGAGTGGTGAGACCATAAGATACATGGAGTCTGCAGGCGGACTCTGGTCGATTCTTGTCATTCTCGCTTGCGGTCATGCTTCTGGTGAAACGCAGTGTCGTGCCCAACAGGCGCTCATCGGATCTGGCGCCTTGAGGCGTCCTCCGCGTCCCTACATCGTGGATGAGACTCTCGATGCCGTCCCGGTAGGGAGTCAAACCGGAGAGGATTTGAAGGTTCAACGAGGTTGTCCGGTCGTCCTCCTTGGGAATTTGGCCGTTAGCAATATCACGAGGATTGGGTGCAAATTTGGCCGTGTCGAGGATGTCCAGCAGCGCATTAAGATAGGTTTCAGCACAACTGTCAAGACCACACCATTTGGACTGGACACTTCGTAAAGCCATCAGCCTAGTAGAGAGTTCGCGATGCCAATCCCAATCGCGCTCTGCTGCCAATGGCGTTGGATTGGGCATCATGGACCAAGCATCATTGGGATCGTCAAACACATGCAAAAAAGCCGATCTCCAGAGAAGCTGGTTTTGGGGACGAACAAAGTCATGCGCAGCCTTGCAAGTTCGGCCAAAGCTGGCGATGACCGCAGGGGGCAGATATGAGAGGATGTGTGCGAGGATTTCCTTGGGCAAACCTAGAACCTCCATGGCCAGGTTGGGACGAGAGCTGATGAGATTGACGTGCAACAACAACCAAGGCGAGGGATGGAAAAGGAAGCGATGCGAGGATGGCGGAGGAATGTGGTGAAGGTTAAGTTCCTCGATCGCCAGTAGTATTCAAGGTCGCCAATCTCTCTTCAGCAGGCTGCGCATCCTATTGCCCCTCACTTGACTGCTTTAAGCCACCTGTTTCATCCCTGCTAAGGGACCCCAAGCCCTGTGTGTTGGTGGCACAAACAATGGTGTAGGGGAAATGAAGGATGGAAGCGTAGGAGCGTAGCCTCTTGCGTAGCCAAGGAATCAAAATGCGTTGAGAAGAAATGGAATGATCATGTACAAGGCACAAAATCTGCATCTATGAGTGCTTGAATGCTGCTGTAGGCACCGAGGATGTACACAGTACGAGGGACTCGATATCTGTCGAGCCACCCAGATTTGCTCGTTTAGGCCCCCGTGCACCGCCCATCGTCAAGACGCCGTCAAATCTCCCCTTCCAAGACACCAACCATAGCTGCCAATCTCAATCTCACCCTCTCACCACAGACCCCAGTTCGCCAGTAACCGCTCGCACAGCCGCAACACAGTCGCTTGCAAGTCGATTCCCTCGTTTCCTCATGTCGAAGTCCTGCACACATATTAAGAGGTACTGTCAATATCGCAGCAGATCCTGACCACTTTTTCTCTTCCTCGAAGCCCACCAAACCACCCCACAAATTGTGTCTGTTCTATCATACGCCGAGGCATCCTCACCGCAGGATTCACCGCTAGCCCCTACAATGCCTCTGAAAGACTTGCTCAAGAGGAAGGACAAGATCGATGACGATGTCGGCCTCCATGGCGCCTCTCTGCCTCAGGCGAATCAATTCACCTTCGTTCGTACCGACACACACACAGAAGAATATATCAATCCACCTGGGTTTGAGAACGATCGGTACTTTGCTGCAGGCGGCGAACCAAAGAGTCCTTCCTCGAGACGCTCATTTGGTCGATTTCGAAAAAGCCAGAGTCCTAGTGCTGCCGACTTGTCCTCCCCAGACAAAGAAAAGAAGGAACATCGACGACTGTCAGAGCGGCTGCATCTGAACAGGGACCGCGCCGCGAGCACCAGCTCTGTCAATCTGCCTTCTGACCTTCCTGACATTGCTGATGCATATTCTGAATCTGGTGATCGTCAAGAGACGGAGGCCAAGTGGGAGGAACGTGCTACCATTCTAGCCAGCAAAAGTCCCGCCATGCCGGCTCATGCTTTGACAGGCGATCTAGAGTCTCTCAGCTTAGGACCCCCAGGTCCACCTTCATCCCGCCCTCGAAGTATCAACGACCCAGAGAGTGACATTGACATCCAGAAGGCCATTCAACTCCACGAGTCTGGTGATCTCAGGGAGGCAACCCAAATGTTCCACCAACTTGCAGAGTCCGGAAACGTCTTATCCCAGGTCCTGTATGGACTGTCTCTTCGCCATGGATGGGGATGTGAGCCTGATCCCGCAAAGGCAGTTTCCTACCTGTCGGCAGCAGCGTCCAACTCGGCCACCATCGAGTCCGATGCTCTAAAGGCTGGAATAAAAAAGGGAGGTGCTGCCAAAGGAGAACTTGTGCTAGCAATCTTCGAGTTGGCAAACTGCTTCAGACATGGCTGGGGGGTTCCGGTCGACAAAGTTGCAGCAAGGCAATATTACGAGACAGCGGCAAATTTAGGAGATACGGATGCCATGAACGAAGCTGCTTGGTGCTACCTTGAAGGATTTGGAGGGAAAAAGGACAAGGTGAGTTTCTGTGTTCTTTTTCCTCGCCCTGGAAACCTGTTGCTTTGGCAGCCCAACTACCGCATGTGCCTTTGATATCTTTGCCCATTCATCAGCACTTACACCCCTGCCCCCTTTCCTCGCGACACGTGATAAGCAGCAGCAGCACCAGGCCAGCCAGCCAACCCAGCTGAGCCTCATCCGCCCCCGAATGGCTTCCGACCATGAGGTTCGGGTGTAACGCAGTCTGACCCATATCGGGAGTGCTATTACTCGGATGCGGCCCTTCTGACACAAACTTGGGCGTCCTACGGCCCCCAAATACACGAAATACCCCAATACGGCTCCCTCTCAATGGCAGCTTCACTTTGGGCAGCAATGCAGAAGCCACTCACCCACTCAGCGGCCAGCTCTAAACCTCTTGTCCCCGTACCTTGCATTAGCCTCGAGTCATGCTGAACTCCGCGAATCACGGTCAATGTTTCACTCGGAGAAATATATGGCTACTGACACATGGGGCTTGCGACATAGTTTAAAGCAGCGCAACTTCTAAGATTGGCCGAAAAGAATGGTGCAAAGACATTGGGAAATTCCTGGTAAGTCATGGTCTCCTGTCATTTTGTCCCAGAACTGCCTATCACCCGATCACCTTGTCCCTCACCCAGCCCTTTAATCACACTCGCTCTGCGCATTTTCACACGAATTGGGTCGAAATTCCGGCGGTGTCCTGTATCCCAATGCCAAGATGTGCCTGATTGGCGGTCAAACTTTGGAGACACTGATGTGACCTGTTTGGCGACCTGGGCCTCCACTACCAACCCTGCTTGCCTGCGCAGTGGTTCGTGTTGGACACTCCAACTCCCAAGGGCGAGGTGGCTGGGCCGCAGTGCTCGACGAGGCGCAACAATCCAAGGGCATTGAACCGACCGGCTCCTGACCTCATGGAGAACGTTGGATGTTTCATTTGTGATCCGGACAAAGAGCGGTGATGCGTGACTGTGTGCTGACATGTTGGTGTTTGTGATTATCAGGATTTGGAAGGAGAAATATGATCCACCAAAATGAGACTGTGGCTTTGCACCGTCCTCATTAGCATGCCGAGGTCATCCTGGGACGATGGTCTGGTCATCTCATCTCTCGATCCAGAGACAAGCAAACACAGCGATATGACTCAAACTTACTATGAGAGAGCCGATGAACCCGACGACAGATAGGCAGATTGAATAACGACCTTATCCATGACTGGCCCCTTGGGGCCCTATCCGCCCTGTTATTGCGCCCCTCGCGCATCCACGGGGTCTGCCCAGGCAACCAGATTGAGGGACACTCTTACGTTGCTCTACTGTTCCCACTTTGTTGATATCTAACTTCAGAAAGGATTCAACCCGTGAAACGCTCAGGCAAAAGGGTAGCTATCGACAGCGCCGTGGCCCATTCTTATGGATATCTAGGTCAAGTTGTTGGTTAGTCGTTGTGGAGATGGATGAACGCCGTGCCTGCATGATGCAGGGGTCTGGGAGGGAACTGCATCCCTTCTCGTCCCTTAGTCCGGGGATGGACATCTGATCACAAAGGTTTGTTCTGGCCGCGCGGTTCAGCATGCCAAAGGTCCCATGAATATTGCCTTTTCCTTGGTCAGACCGCGGACCATTGACGTTGACGACGGCCATCACCGATGGAAGGGGGATTACCCGTTGTATCCGCTGACTTGGTTGATCATGGGTGGTCAAGCTCGAAGCGAGTGAGCTCGGTGAAACGACAGACGTCAAAAGCAAGGCAATTCAGAGCCAGAGCAGAGCAAAGCAAGACAAAGCAAAAAGTACATGCCCGTGATAGAACAGAATGCTTGCTCGCTCACACGGATCGATGGCTGCCCCGTGGGTTTGGGTCCTTTCGGAACCTTTTGAACCTGTCTGGCCACTGGGCCACCTTATCGAAGCAGATAGACGTGGAATCCCAAGAGCAGATGGCCTGATCCCCAGGATCCCCAGGGAATACCAAACAGAATCTAGAAACAAAGAGCTCGTGAAGTTGTTGGGTTTCATATCCCCCCAAATTTCAAAATATCTCATCGCCTCTATTTCATGTGCTCGGGATATGTGGTGCTCGGCAGCCCATTTCATTTCCTGTGTCTTTTTCCCGGCCCGAGGCATGTTCTCTTTATGCGGTGCTACATGAGGGAAAAAAAAGGCGTTATAAAACTGTACGTCGACTGTTTTGGTCGTAACATCGTAGCGGGGGCTCTTGATTTGCCCTCGAGTTCATCCTTTCCATCGACCGACCTGGCCATCCCTCCCTGCCCCCTCCCATTCATCCAGATTTGTGGTCAATCGTTCCCCTATGCTCGGTCCCTATCCCTTCAATTGCTCTCGTGGGAGAGTATCTGTCCAATAATAAAAGCCCTCCGGTGTCTGATTGTCTTTCTGATAATACCCTGACCTCTCGGTTTCACGTCGTCCCTCTCCTGCTCCCCAGCTCCCATCCCTAGATCTTCCGAGTTGTTATGCTATGTGCACCCCTTCCCCTCCCTTCCCTTTCCAATCCCACTCCGAAATAATAAGTGCAGAAACAAAAGAGAAAAAGAGTTTTCATGTCATAGGCCGTTAAAAGTTCTGGGTCATCATAATCAATCATGTCGTGTCCTATCGTATCAACTGATTTCATATCCTGATCAAATTCCAGGAAATCCCTAAAGTGTAAAGGAGATAAGGAAATTGTGCCCTGAAGCATATGAGTCTTTCGCTTTCGTAGGTTTGGTTAATCAGACCTGCCCGTCTGAAAAGAGAATGTAGCTTCAAAAGGGAGAATGTAACAAAAAAGAAAAACAAAAGGGATCCCTCCACCGCTCCGAATACCCTTGCAGAAAGGAAAAGGGCATTGTCGGATTTGAACAATTTTGCTTGTACAAGGACCAAGGAGCGCTGGTGTGGCAGGCTTCATTACTCGACCCTGGCAATCAGTTCGCGGAAATCTCGAAGGACTTTCTCGGGGACTCGTTCGAGGAGCACACTCCGTTCGCGGGCTTTCCCACTGATGCCACTCATTTTCTCGAGGCCATCCCTTTGAGCTTGCATATCTGCAAACAACTGCTGCATTCGGGTTGGCTTGACTTCGACCACATCGTCGTCGTCGAAAGCGCAGTCAGGACTACTAATGTGGTTGTATGAAGCAGCCGAGAGGGAGAATGCAGCTGCAGTTTGTTGGTGACTAGATGGGGTGGTGAGCGAGGCGTGGAGATTGCCGAGTGGAGTGTCAGAAGGTTGAGGGGTCATCCCAGACACATCCGAAAGTGCGTGGGGAAAACCGTTGCTGTCTAGCGAAGGAGCGGGTCGGCTAGGAAGAACCTCGTGGGTTACCTCCGGGCTAGAAGCAAGTACGGCCTGAAGGACGTTCCCGGCTTCAGCGCGATATGTGTCGGACATCGCGGGCATATTGGGTGCAACAACCGCGACCGAAGATGCGGCACTCGCTGCCCTGGAGCCGGCTTGCGACATGATGAAGGCACCAGAGAGTAAGCACATGTAGAACGTCTCCCAGCTGAAAGCGGCGTCGACCTTGACATCAGACTTCGTGGAAGTGTTTGGTTGAGTTGAGGAAGTATTGGGTCTTGGAGTAGCCTGTCGTTGCAACGACTCTGATTCTTCCATCTTCAAGTCTTCGCTGCCCATCAAGACAAACTCATCGTTCCATTGGTCCTCCAGACCGAGATCCTTGAAATTCGAGAAGTCGTTGGAGAAGGCGTCGGATGCGTTGGAGGAGAAGGCACGAGCATGTTGATTGCGTTCCAGTTCCCTGACGGTGTCCCTCAAAATGGTGTTCATCCGCCGAAGCTCGCCGGTCTCCAGAGTCGACGTCCGAATGAGCTCCTCATTCTGATATTTCATCTCGGCAATGCACTCCTCGAGGCGTTGACGTTCAAGTATCCACTGTTGTCTTTCATGGCTGAGAACGCTTTCAAATTGGCCGAGGGCTTCCTCGAGTTCATTCTTTTGGCTGATCAGAAGTTTCTTGTCCGCCTCCAACTTTTCGGCGTTTTGCTTTTTGCGCATGCGAGAATCAAGTCTGTGCAAAGGCGGTCAGTTAGCAGACATCCATGAACAAGAGGTCGAAGTTATACATACGCTGCCTGTCGGTTTCGCAGTAATCGTTTCTGCTGTTTTAACTCCTTTTTCTCGTCCTCGTTTGTGGCCTGATTGATCAAGGCATCAATGGTGTTGATGTTTCGCTCGGGAGGGATTTCGAATTTGGCATTCTTCTTCCTGATACCATCGGACCTCAACACTAGTAGTGGGGACGCAGGTCTGTATCTGTGCCGCAGAATGCTGCTTGTCTCGGCAGCATCCGACGAAGTTGTCGAAGCCCAACCGCCTTGGCTAGACTGCGGCGACATGGAAACGGCCGAGGCGGGGTCTTGCTGGGAGAAACCCGAGAAGGTGACAGGTCCACCGGTATACTGAACCTGCTGCTCAAAGGGCTCTTGGACCGGACCGAAAAAGGGGGTAGGAGTGCTGGCCTCAGACCGCGCCGACAATGCCCACTGTTGATTTTGCATGAAGCCGGGACCGCAGTTTGCAGTGTTCATCTGACCGAAAAATTGGCCATTGGGATTCGACATTGGGAGCGAGGATTGCGAGTAATGGCGGGTAGGTCCCATGACACCATGAGGTCTCTCCTGCCAGACATGGGCTGATGCAGGATAATCCTCCTCCAGCTTTGTAACTGAGGCACGTCGATTGTCAGAGGCATCGGCAGCCGTCATATCGGCGGGGGTAGAGGATTCAAAGACCTTGTCGTCGAGAATCGAGGAGGAATCGTCTTCGGTGAGAGCGGGTTTGACGTCCTCAGGCCACTGAGGTTGTCCATAAGGATAGTAAGTTTGGGGCCGATATTGCATCGCCATAGGTCCGACAGAAATGGGAATTGACGATAATAAATTTGTTTTTGTTGCTATGCCGATAAAATGGATGGATTAAGTGGCGGTGAGTGAAAAGGTGGGGAAAGGCTTCTTGGTGGGAGGGTTGTTGGGTTTTCTCGACACCACAAAAGTGTAAAGTCTTCAACAGCGCATAAGAGTGCCAGCGGCAATGAGCATATTG